ATCCCTGACCTTATCAGATTAGTGGTTATATCTATTGTTATTCAAAAAAAAAATATCAGAGTAGAAATATCAATGCAGCTGAGTCCAGTGAATTTGTAGTGAAGGTCATATTTTCACGCAGGCTAAATTCCATGACTACATCAAAGGAAAACACAGTAAGTCAAAATCTAGGTCAGCTGATATCAAAGTTCACTTTACATCTTATTCTGTGCTGGTTCAAATTTCATAGCTGTACATCAAATGACAAGAAAGTAGGTCACATCATCAAAATCTAGGTCTCTTGATATCAAAGTTCAATTTTACAACTAAAACTGTGCACATGGTCAAAATTTTATTGCTTGACATCAAAGGACAAGAAAGTAGGTCACTGTCCCCTTGGGCAAGGTAAAATTTTGACAAAAGGGTTAATTTCAGAAAAATCTTGATACAGGTCCACCAAACAACAAATATCTAAGCTGTGGCTTTCTCCAATTCAGAAAACATTTGTTTTGGATATGTTCATAATGAAAATCAATGACCCCTGGGGCGGGGCCATTTTTTATCCCAGGGCTTTAATTTGAACAATCTTGGTAGAGGTTCACTTCGCAAAGACTTATGCCAAATATTCAACCTCTTGCCTTTGTCGATTCAGAGAAAAATTTTCAAGTTTTTATTTTATACATATAAGGAAAACTATCGCCTCTGGGGCAGGGCAATTTTAACACTAGGGGCATAATTAAAACAACTTTAGTAGAGGACCCATACATGATATTATATACCAAATATCAAAGCTCTAAGCCTTGTACCTTCAGACAAGAATATTTTTTACTTTTTACTATATGTACATAGTGAAAATCAAATACCCCCGGGGTTGGGCCAATGTTGGCCCCAGGGCTATAATTTGAACAATCTTGCTCGAGGACTACACAATGTTTCATGCAAAATACCTCTAGCATTTGTCAATTTAGAGAAGAAGATTTTTTAAGTTTTTACTTGATTGACATATCACGAAAACCTATGACCCCAAGGCCTGGGCTAATTTTGACACTAGAGGCAAAATTTAAACAACTTTGGTAGAGTACCTTTAGATTATATCATATAACAAATATTAAAGCTTTAAGACTAGTACCTTCAGACAATAAGATTTTTTATTTTTTTACTATATGTACATAGTGAAAATCAATGACCCCAGGGGCGGGGCCAGTTTTGACCCCAGGGCTATAATTTGAACAATCTTGCTAGAGGTTCACTACACATATTTCATGCAAAATATCTAACCTCTAGCATTTGTCAATTGCGAGAAGAATTTTTAAAAGTTTTTACTATATACATATTAGGAAAACCTATGATCCCCGGGGCGGCGCTGATTTTGACACTAGAGGCAAAAATTTAACAACTTTGGTAGAGTACCTATAGATGATATAACATACAAAATATCAAACCTCTAAGCCTTGTACCTTAAGACAATAAGCTAAGAACCGCTCAATAGCGGTTTTAAGTTTTAACTATATGTACATATAGTGAAAATCAATGAACCCATGGCAACCAGATTTCTGCATGGAATAAAATTCTTTGAACAATTTTGGAAGCCCTTCACTTAAGAATCAATCCTTTCAAGTTTGGTTGAAATTGGACTAGTGGTTTTTCACAAGAAGATTTTTTTAGTTCACTATATAATCTATAGAACACATACATTCACATGCAAACGCGCACGTGCACACGTACACGCGCACGCGCACGCGCAAACACACACACACACACACAGGTGAATGCCTATTTGCCATCGCATCGCAGATGCTGCGGTGGCATAGAAATAAATATAAATAGATAAATAAATAAATATAAAATGAATAAATGAATGAATGAAAGTAAACCATTATTAAAATAAAGGTTAACAACAAATAGATACAAAAGATAATAAACTTATATATGAATTTTTTATGGCTCCTTTTTATAATGAATCCATCTTGTTACAAAGTTATGACGGTCGATTAAAACCAAATACCAAGGAAATGATTATTAATAAGTGTTCTTAATTAGTGAATTTGTGCCGAGCATATAAAAAGTGCCGTGCATAAAGAAATCGTATGAAAACCCTTACGGACAAATACATGCATCTTTTACAGTCCCATTTGTTTCGATAATTGAGTACCGAAGATCTGTTTGAAGGACTTTGATTGAATACTGGTATTTAAATCAACCCCAGATCCTTACGACGGTAAAGATAGGGTCAACATCTGTATAAAAATTAATGCCGGCGGTATGTGGGGCTACCAGGATAATGTTGAGCTTAGTAAACCCGAAACAACCACTCTAATAGTGAGATTATAAGAGAATAACATGTTACTGTCTTTTGATAGTAATTTCATTAGACGAAACTGATACGGGCAAAAAAAGGGGCGAGGCTTGTCGATCCAAAACATCCCTATAAATCATATAAATGACGAGAACAAAGATCAACAAGATAAAGGCAACGTTCACAGCCCTCGCCACATCCCAGCAACAACAGCATAGCATCAAAATGACACCGAACCAAAACCGGAAGAGGCCGGAGGGGTGACGAAAGGAGGGAAGGAACATCAATAAGTGAAATTATAAGAACTAAATGGGGGTCATACGTAAATCAAAGCGACAAGGGGTGTAACGTGGAAAAAGGGATGTGGAGGGGTCAGGGCACTTTGCCATGTTACTGGCAAAATAGTACTGTCTCACGTTAGTGCTATCGCATTCGCCATGTTACTGCTACCATAGTATTATCGTGCTTCTCGTTTGTTTTCCAGAGAAACGCGCTGGTCCTAACGGAACACTATAGTTAATTTTAAATGATATTTTGACACCCTTCGAACTCCGTCAGATGAAAATTTAATTTAAAATGACTTTGATCAAGATTTGTACCGATTCTCACAACAATGTTTAGTTCTACATACAGGTTTAAACTCCACTGCGTTGGTTTTCAAGTGGCCAATTAAAATATATTTTAAGCTGTTGTCTACTGATTTCCTTTTTTTACAAAGTACAATGCAGTGCATAAAATAAGAAATGGAAAACTAAACAAGACAAATACACATTGCAAACATACAAAAGAAGTGTTATATGATGCACTTAACTATGTGTTGAAGTTAACGCAACAAATTAAACAGTCAAAATCGCAAAGCAATTATGTGTTTGTAAACAAACTAATTTTCTTAACGATTAAAGATCACCGTTCCATCAACGAAAATGTTATTTGTTTGGCTACAACCTTTTCAACTTGCTCATTTCTAGCCGTTTTGGTAAAAAAAAATTAAAAAAAAACTTAGCTAAAATCACCAGGTAAGTGCATGCGCTGGTATGCTCATCGTTATCACCATTGTTATCAACAGCCATTTATACCTTCATCCTTCATCATCGATATATCGACCTATAGTATCCCTTTTGCTTCTATGTCTTACCGATGATATGTTAACAGACATCATATATGTACTTATTTCACATTATGCATACAAATAAACCTTGATCAAAATGCTGATGTTGGCATTTTCCCAATTACCTTTCTACTAAACTGTTTTGAATATCAGAACTATATATTAAACTAGTTCATAAAACAAATACATGTATATAGCAAGAGATGAGATTATAATCAAACTCATTTATATGGAACCATCACGAGTTGACCAACCCCTTTTAAAATAAAAAAAATGTTGTAGTTACACATGGTGTAGTGGCAATTTATATTTATTTCATATCCATCTTACCTTCTCTTTCCTATGGCATATAAACTATCGAAACCTACTGTGTGCGAATGAACATAAAAGCATCAAACATATGAGATACATAGCGCTGCATATTTAAAACTACAAATTAATACTTTTAACAGTTTTGACTTTATATTGAGATGCCTATGAGATATTAACTTAACCCTCATTTATTTTTTTGCAACAAATAATAGGTGAAGTTGTTAACAATTAATATTTTCGATATCAATGCAAAATGGATAAGTGTACGTGAGACACATATTTATGAGATTTAACCATTGTGAACGTTCCTACCATCTACAATGTTTAAACAGAACTTAACTAAGTGAAGCTCCGAGTTTTTCTCGTTTGGATGATATAAGGGAAAACCGCTAGATTGCCTAAAAAGAAGGCCTGGTTAATTTTTTAGGGAAGTAGACAGCTTTGAAAATTATTCAAATAGGCTAAAATTACTGTCAACTGAATTGAAACTAAGGGGCGAGGGGTCAAATCCTAGAAGGGATATCTTTTTTTCTCTTTAACATTTTTTATATATCTCTCTGATCCCTTATGAAAAGAAGAAAAAAAGTTTTTGATTTAAATTATTGTAGGTATCTATTGGCCAAATATTGCGAAACTCAAAAGTCAATATGGTACCAGATTTTTTCAAAGTCCAATAAAATAAAAGCTACCCCGTACCAAAAGGAAAGGTTTGCCGCAAATTCGCCGCAACTTTGCCGCAAATTCGCTGCAAACCTTTTAGTTCGCCAAAACACTGTGTCAAGTGTTTGCCAGATATCGCCACTAGTGGCAACTCTGTGGCAAACATTTGGCGACTTTGCGGCGAATTCACCAGAATATTAAGTTGTTCGCCAAAAGTTTGCCAGAAACTTTCAGTGGAAAACTAATTTGCCAGAGATTGCCAGAATCTTTCTATCAAAAAAAAAAATTCGCTGAAAGTTCACCAGAAACTTTTCTATAAAAAAAGTTTGCCAGATAATCGCCACAAACATATCAGTTCTGAAAGTTAATCCAACTTTGTTCAGTAAATAACTATTTTGCCAAGGAATTATATTATTATGCACATATAAAAAAAAGTCCTTCATGTACCTACCTATAACCACGGATTTAAATGTCAATTAAAGTCCGTGCTATAACCTACCTACCTACCTACCCAACCTTATTTTAATGGGTCGGGAAGTGGAAACAAACAAATTTTTATTTTTTGCCTAAGAGTTATCAAATTGAAACATCATATGTATCATGGAGGGTTTTGTAGTTCACAATAACAGTAAAAAAATTATAAGGTAGAAGACCCATAATGAAATCGGCAATCTTCGACAATTACCGCCATATCTCGCCATTTATCGTAACGAACTTCGTTTGTTTACGTATAAAGTCGGAATTCTAATAATAGCGAATATCCCCGGTCACGTGGTAGTATTCCCCAAGAAAATGACGTAATTTCCGCAGATATCTAACATGGCGTCTTACAGCGTGACACGCTCGGTCGATTCAAAAAAAGTGTAAAAAGATGCAGAAAACTCAAGTATTCCGACTTTATTATAGAACATAACAATAGTGCAGGTAACCAGTATTACGTGTCAACCAAACCAGCTCTACAAGACATCAACTCTTCCTAAATCGGTTGATAATGAGGGTTGGAAAGAGGGAAGAAGAATCGTTGAGTTTGGCGTGTTACGGTCAAACCTAAGATTTTGTAAAAAATGTAGACTTGGACCAGTTGGCTACCATTAACAGTACTGATTAACTTTTGACAACATGTTAGGTGAATTTAAACAGGGAGTGTCTGGTTATTTGTATGTGAAATGTCGAAACACAGAATGCGGTCATGTGAATTGTGTTCCCTATGGAAAAACACACAGACTCTAGTAGATTGAAGACCTGTGAAAGTTGGAATGCCATGTTTCGTTGTCAACACAAAATTAGGAACAGGTAAGTGATTAATGTATTGCATCATAGTTTACATTAAGTACTATATACTGATAATGAATTCATAGATGTAAGGTCTCGTACCAAAATGAATATATCGATACATTATGATTTATCAATGTTTATTTACTTGTCTTCCAATGATGTCAAACATGTAAAATTATGCGGACCAAATTTATGTTGGCAATATCCGGTTATCTGCCCCCCGGGGCAGAAACATTCTTATCTGTATTTTTATGACAGTCGTGTGGTCAGCCCTACTGATCTGGATCATTCAGGCGCTTAAAAAATATCACACCCGCATGCGCAAAAAAATAAAATATTTACCTACCATGCGCTTGCGTAGTTAGCTGTGAAAGAACAAACATCTAGCAAGGGGTTCATAACAGGTTTTTACATAATAAATATCCTCTACGGAATGAACTCCTACATTTAGACAGCTAAAATCACTTCAGTATATCATTCATTCCGTAAAAAATAACTGATTTATAAATAATTAATTTATTATACAGAATACATGTTTCTTGTTTGTGTTTAGCTGTAAAACACTACTCCTTATTGTGAAAGAAGTGGCTACTGGTTGGGGACCACCAAAACCGGACAACCACCAAACCCGGACGGCTCCAAAAATGCTTAATTTTCTATTTTCTATATTCAGTGGTTGTCAGTTGCTTTTTATCAACAATAAATGAATGTTTCTTCTAAAATTAAGTAAATAAATTTATTTCAACCTCCGTAAATGGTAATATTTTAATGTCTTTTTCAAGAATGTTGACGTTGAAATTTGGGGGTCAAGAGGGCAATGCCTGACCTCATATACCAACTATAATCATTTGCAGAGTAAACAATAGAATATCCAAAACTTCAGGATTTGTTGCTGAAATATTGTATAACATGTTGAAAATCAAAAATTAAAACAGCCAAGCTTTTATCTGAATTAAATCACATCATGTACATATCTGTCCGGACACATGGTACTGTAGTGTAGACATTTTAGGTAATTTTTATACCCACGTTTTCGAGCCTCAGATATAAGTGTAAATACAATCAGAAAAAAACAAACTAGTTTGTTAGTTAGGAGAAGAACCTAGCTGAACTGTCTCAAATTTTTAGGTCTCTAGGTTAAAAATTATGAAATCTGTACGGAAAAATGTTTAAAAAGTGTCCGGTTGATGGTCCCCGACCAGTAGCCATACGGCTAGCCAAAAGTTCTAGCCGTACGTGACTCACATACTCCATATAATTTTGAAAAGTGCCGTACGGCTAGCCAATACAGTGTGTCCTGGCTAGTCGTACGTGACTCACGTATGGCTAGAACTTTTGGCTAGCCGTACGGCTAGCCACTTCCTATTGTGAAATGTTTTATAAACTTCCCTCTGAACTGTTTTAATTTCCCCAAAGTCACTGACAAATTTGAAAAACAAATGATAAAACGTTGCTAAATTAAATCTTGCAACAATGCAATTTTTAGTAAGACATTACAGAATCCTACATGTACATTATATAAAAGACACAGTTTACACTAGGCTGCCAATACACACAGTCACAGTACTAATATTCAACGTACATGAGGCAGCTAAATATAGCTCTAGTATATTAATTTATGCAATGTGTTATTATCACGGTTATGTAAATTACAATCCATGTGAAGTTTTTTTTGACAAAATATTTGTATACTTTAATGAAATAATTTGTTTCTTTCATTTTCTTACAGCAATGATTGATAGTGTAGGTGGGCCGGTGAGGGTCAACAATTTGTTGTCAACACTAAATATACCAACAATTGGAAATAAAAACATGAAAAGAAATGGAGATACGTGTTGGAAATATCATTGAGACAGCACTGGCTTCTATGCCGACAGAATCTGCTGCATAAGATCAAGGAAATGGAGTAAGACACATTTACATTTACAATGATATTTTCAAAATAACATGTACTTGAATTGAAAGAATTTCAAAAATTATTTTGTAATTATATGTCTATGCAGCTTATATCATGGTATAATCCTATATTGCTGGCACACTCGTGGTTTAGGGAACCAAAGAATATTATACAATCCATATATGAGAAAAGAATTTTTAAACAATGGCTTTGTTGTTTTTGCATGTTACTCTATATTCATGTACATATTTCTTTTTTCAAAATAACATGAATGTGTAATTGTTTTTTTAAAAAAGTATTTATTTCTACATGACAAACTGGGTCCGTCTGGGCTCCTTGCCATTGGTACTTGTTGCTTGGTCATATGGGGGTTGCGTTCATTGAACGCCGCCTTTCCTTGTTGATCTTGTTTATCATATTTTACCTTCATTGGTTTAAGACTAAAATTCATATTAAATACATACATTCTTTTTAAGGGATGTGCATCATGAAGAATCAATGGTATCAGAACACAACATCATGGAAGATCTTATTGACAAGATCTCGGAGGATGTCCTTTGCCAGATGTTTGCCAGCACTAAAGTGAGTACTGGTAGTTTGTTTTCTGTATTTTGTTTATTTACGAAAGTAAAGCCTAAAGGACTATGCAAAACTGACTGGTGTTGTTGAACTGTTTGTGTTATGTCAGTTAAATTTGCTTCAATATATGAATATCTCTCCATATACTGTTTGTACATATGTATTTTTTTTTATTCAAGGTCTATTCATCAGTCAGATGCTACAGTTACAAATGACAGTGAATGGTCAGATTTATACAATTGTGATTAACAATCCTCAACAATACATCAAACAAAAATGCCTATTAAACTGTAAGTTGAAATCTATGAGGTTTTTTTATATATATTTATAATCATGGTGTAGCAATTAAATGATAATACTTTGATAATTTTGTAATGCTATTTGGGGTCGTCTTCAATAGAAACAATTTGATGTAACTTCATGTGATGAATAATCGATATGCAGTCCGAATTATTTCATAAAAGTGATTACTAAAATTGGTCAGGAAAAAGTCGTGCAATTAGCATTAATAATTAACATAACTTATTCTAGTAACTGTGTGAACATTGTGTTACATTAATTATAAATATGTTATTGTCAATTTATTGGTGTTCAATCTTCAATATTTGTCAATATTACGTTTAAGATGAATTTTAAAATACAGAAAATATTTTTGAAATATATTTTTACAATTACAGTTCTCACAGACAGTCATAGGTTGAAAACAAATCAGAAGTGGTCCACATCTTAAAAAACCTCACAGCAGATTAAGACTTTCCCCGAAATTTCCCTGTAAAACCCGCAGTGGTATGTCCAGTGCAGTAGATACTGCCTGGCACAAAAGAGGATTTGACAGTTTAACATGTAAGTAAAATAAGATTATTTTTATCCCCCCACAATGTGGGAGCATATAGCGTGGCACTTGTCAGTCTGCCCCAAAATCTTGTGAAGGCAACTCCTCTTAAACCGGATGGAAGATTTTGCTTAAACTTCCAGGGATTAACAAACTTAATGTGTAGATGGTAGTAAAGGAAGGAATTTTTGCTGCAACCAAATTTAACAGAATAATGGCCCTTTGTTGATTTTTAGTTTTCAACTTGTGGCACATGTAGTCCAAAAACTATTTGACCTAGAGTCATAAGATTGACAGAACAGTGGCGTGTGGGGGCATCCGTGTTTTATTGACACATTTCAAGTTTTTCTCAGTCATCATGTCAGTAATGATTTAGAATTTGTCAGAAAAGTATCTGTGTGTATTTTAACCACTGTTATTGATGTATAATTGAAAAAGTGAGTTTTGCATACAAGTAAGACTGGTTAGTCAACATTGTTCTTTCAAACAGTGGCATTTAGAAGAAAAATCCTAATGGTTATTTGAATTACCCTGGTTTTAACTTTGAGTTCTGACCTAGCTGTCATGTTCACAGCATGGTTCATTTTTGTGTCGCCTCTACGGAGTAGTGGTAACATATAGGGATCATTTCTCCGTCGTCTTGTCTATCTGTCCGTCCGTCACAAAACTTGTCCGGACTACTCCTCATAAACTACTGGTGCAATTTCATCCAAACTTTACAGGAATGATCAGTACCAAGTCTAGTTGTGCATTTTGTCAGCATTTTCCGGTTCAATGATTTTTGTCAAGAGTTATGGCCCTTTAATAATTTTTATTTTTTAAAGTTTGTCTTGACTACTTCTCTTATACCACTAATGCAATTTCAATGAAACTTTACAGGGTTGATCTGTAGCTTAAGTCCTTGTGCATATTTCATGGGTTTTCCGGTTGAATGATTTTTGGCCGAGTTATGGCCCTTTGATAAAAAGTGTTTTTTTTTCTGTGTGTTGCCAGATACACAAAAACTTGTCCTGACTACTCCTCATAAACTACTGGTGCAATTTCATCCAAACTTTACAGGAATGATCAGTACCAAGTCTAGTTGTGCATATTGTCAGCATTTTCCGGTTCAATGATTTTTGTCAGAGGTATGGCCCTATTTTTAAGTTTGTCCGGACTACATCTCTTATACCACAAATGCAATTTCAATGAAACTTTACAGGATTGATCTGTTACTCAAGTCCTGGCACATATTGCACAGGTTTTCCTGTTGAATGATATTTTGGCAAGTTTGATGAAAAGGTGTTTTTTTTCTGTGTGTTGCCAGATACATAAAAGCTTGTCCGGACTACTCCTCAAAAACTACTGGTGCAATTTCATCCAAACTTTAAAGGAATGATCAGTACCAAGTCTAGTTGTGCACTGTCTGTCTGTCACAAAACTTGTCCCAACATGAAATTGGCCATCATGAGGCGACACATGTGATCACTGATCGCTCTTGTTTGGTATTTTGGTGTTTTTTTAACATGATACCTTGATTTCTTAACTAAGTTAGATAAACTTATAATATATGAGCCACTTGTCATTTGTAAATAAATCTAGGTTTTGCAATGCAAATACATGTTCATCCCAACAGATCAAAATCAAGCCAGCAATAAATAATAATTGCCTTTGGTGTTTATTTTCTTCATTTGTAGGTGGGCTTTACTAATAGATTACTGCCACTTTACTTCAAAGTGGGGTTTTGGGGTATCATTCACCTTCAGTGATAGTTCTAGTTTTATCCAGTATAAACATGGTTACATGGAAATGAAAAATAAACCTTGTTTTTTTCAGTGTACTGCACCAATAAACTAAATATGGAGAGAAGCTTAGTCACCAAAGCAGTCAACACCAAAATACACACAATGGCCAGGGCACTGAAACTTGGAAGAGTGAAAGAGTAAAGTAGTGCGTTTTTAGCTAACAAAGTGACATTGCGAGCTTTTGTCTATCTTTCGTCCGTAAACTTGATCTTTAAACAACATCTCATAAATTGCCAAGCCAATTTCATGCAAACTTACGATATTGTCTAGTCAGTTTTTGTTTTGCTTGCAATCGTTATATGACATGACTAAAGACATTTAGTTTTATTCTTAAGTTATTATGTTTATGTTTGTATAAGACCCAAATATATTGTTAAGATTCATTTTTACAAATTTGAAAGCCATTATTGTTCTAGTCAGTTTTTGTTTTGCTTGCAATCATTATATTACATGGCTAAAGACATTTAGTTTTAATCTTTAATAGTTATGTCTATATTTGTATAAGACCCAAAAATATTGTTAAGATTCATTTTTACAATTTTGAAAGCCATTATTGCTCTAGTTTGTTTTTGTTTTGCTTGCAATTGTTATATGACATGACTAAAGACATTTAGTTTAAATCTTTAGTTATTATGTCTATGAGGGGCGTCCGTGGCCGAGTGGTTAAGGTCATTGACTTCAAACCACTTGCCCCTCACCGCTGTGGGTTGGAATCCCGACAGGGACTTTGGATTCTTTCTTGTGAGGAAGCTATCCAGCTAGCTTAACTGAACGTCAGTGGTTCTACTCAGATACCCGTTCGTGCCTGAAATAATGCAAGGAAGGGCACCTGAACGTCACGATATGACCTTTACTGTGTTGATGTGACGTAAAAACCAAAAACAAGCAAACAAAAAATTATGTCTATGAAATTCGTTGTTTGTATAAGACCCAAATATATTGTTGTGATTAATTTTAACAATTTTGAAAGACATAATTGTATGTGTCAGATATTGTTTTGCTCACAATCATAATGTTATATGACATATGAGTTTAAATCTGAAGGTATTATGTCCATGAAATATGTTGTTTGTTTAAGACCAAAATATATTTTTGAGATTCATTTTTACAATTTTGAAAGCCATTATTGGTCTAGTCTGTTTTTGCATAACACATAACGCTATTGTTAGTATTTATTGTTATTAATAGTGATTTGTCTAAGTGGATGTAGAAGTATGTATGTTATTCCATGCCAGTTCATGTTTGAATGAAACTTTTTGACCAGATAGAAGTTTTCAAACTGTAACTTTTCTGATATTTAGCTTTTACAACAATATTATATTTCCCATTTATGGTGCTAAGAAATACTGCAACATGTGCTGAATAATAGCTATTGTCAAACATTGTTTATATGCTCCCCGAAAAATTTCGGCGGACCATATAGTCATTGGGTTGTCTGTCCGTCCGTCTGTACGTACATACGAACCTGAATTCGTGTCCAGCCCATAACTTTGTTATTTCAAGTTGGATTTTAAAACTATTTCACAGAAATGCTCACCATATTGAGACGACCTGTCGCCCGCAACATTTGGGTCGCTACCTTGAAGGTCAAGGTCACACCATGACCTTGAACAAAATCATGTCCTGCCCATAACTTCGTTATTTGAAGTCGGATTTTAAAGCTATTTAAAAAGTAATGATCACCATATTGAGATGCTGTGTCGTGCGCAGCATTTGGGTCGTTACCTTGAAGGTCAAGGTCACAGCATGACCTTAAACAAAAATTGTGCCGGCCCATAACTTGGTTATTTGATGTCGGATTTTACAACTATTTCACAGAAATGATCACCATATTGAGACGATGTGTCGCACACACCATTTGGGTCAATACCTTGAAGGTCAAGGTCGCAACATGACATTGAAGCAAAATCGTGTCTGGCCCATAAATTCGTTATTTGAAGTCGGATTTTACAACTATTTCACCGAAATAATCACCATATTGAGACGATATGTCACATGCAACATTTGGGTCATTACCTTGAAGGTCTAGGTCACAGCATGACCTTGAAGCAAAAATGTGTACGGCCCATAACGTCGTTATATAAAGTGGGATTTTACAACTATTTTGGAATTATCACACTTTGAACTTTGTCTGGGACATAACCCTGAAACTTCAAAAGATATACTTTTCTGTATCTAGGATCACCCAGGTTCAACCGGCTCTTGTTTTAATTGATTATTAAGTAATATGAACAATTCATGATAGCATCATAACTAAAGAGTGGAAATTTATGAAAGTCAAATATGTATAGAATCAGTTGCTAATAAAATGTGTGTAAAATTTATCTCTTTTTGGGAATTAATTTCTTTATTTTACAAATTTATCAAATTTCATTTTATTCTTCTGATATGTTTGTAATATTTCTTTTATTTTCTATTGAAAAAATGTGTTAAACCAATATGTATTTGTTTTCTTTATAATTCAGCTAGTTTTTATTATTCCAATGTTTGAAAAAATTGTTCGCCAGAACTTTACCAAAATGTTTGCCAAAATATCGCCATAACATATTTGCTGAAACTGGCAAATATGCAAATGAAGTTTGCCGCAGTGTTACCAAAAGCTTCTGGCGAACATCCGCAAACTTACTATGCAAATGAAGTTTGCTGCAAATTTGCCGCAAACTTTTGGCGAACATCTGCAAACTTTTACCATGCAAATGAGGTTTGCGGTAAATTTGCCGCAAACAGAAGCTACCTCCCCCTATAGTTTGCGGCAAGTTTGCCGCTAACCTCATGAGTTGCGGCAAATTTGCCGCAAACCTCATTTGCATGGTAAATAATTGCTGAAAGCAGTTTGCCGCAAACTCACCGCAATGTTTGCGGCAAACTTGCCGCAATGTTCACCAGAGAGCCCTTTTTTTGGTAAGGGACACGGTAAAATATTTTGTATTTTGCAAGATCAACCAATATACTTTTAGAAATTTTAGGTAAACTTTGAAAACAGTCACTCGTTGTGGTAAATTAAAGATATATTTTGGCCAAATTTTTGAAAAAGGGAAATGGTCAAATAAGTGTATAAAGTGGATGGAATAGGTAAACATATCAAAAGCATTGTATATAGAAATAACAATTTGCTCGCGGGATCTATTACCCGAATGCTATTATTTATTTCTAGACAATCATCATGATTTTCCAGATTATTTGGAATTTCCTTATATCTGAAAAAGAGCCCTTCTGATAGCAATTTTTTACTTCAAAAATATTGCGACATGACACACAAAGAATGCGCTAAATTGTGTTATTTCTTTACATGTGTCCTTTACGGCATATACCTGTCCTATGTTGTCAATTTTACAGATCAGTAAAGTGCCCATTAGGGGATGTTCTATGTTAAAAGTACATATGGACAGTTTTATCAAGTGCTGACTTTTGCTCAAGGTTATTAAACAAGTATACTCAGTGGCTAGTAAACAAATATACTCAGTGGCTAGTTAACAAATGTCACGGTTCTGAACTGTTCACTATTAGGTGAGAAGATGATAAAGCGGCCGGGAAGCTTAGAGTCTCGACTTATAGTCCCGGTCAGGCTACATAATTTCCTCACCCTATGAAACAAGTGAACTCAATGGCTAGTAAACAAGTATACTTAGTGGCTAGTAAACAGGTATAGGCTGTGGCTAGTAAACAAGTATACACAGTGACATATGTACAATTTGACTAGTAAACAAATATACTCAGTGACTATGTAACAAGTATACTAGTTGGCTAGTACAAGGTTTACTCAGAAGCAAGCATACAAGTATCTGTAGTGGATAGTAAACATACAAACTCATAGTTTGGTAAACAGGTATACTCAGTGACTAGTGAACAAATAAACACATTGGCTGGTAAACAAGTATAATCTGTGGCATAAGTATTCTTTTACAAGCAATCAGATACACTCAAAGGCTTGTAAAAAGATATTATCAACGACAATTTAATAAGTGTACTGATTAGCAAGTAAGCAAATCATGTAAGATATCCTGAAATATTGTTTGGGCCTACCTTCTTTACGAATAAGGTATGTGTCTTCTGTTAAAGAAATATGTGAATCGAGTTCTGTATCTGCTGAAATAGATAAAACGGATAGTATTATTCTGGTAAAACATACATGTCAAAACCAACTACAAATTCAATGCCGAAATCAAAAAATATATGTTAACATGAACGTGCATGCGTTGATGCGATATATTCATCATGTAGTTGATGCGATATATACATTATCTAGTATGACACAAAAAGAAGGCATAAAACTTATTTCCATTGTGGTCCTTAGAATTTATCATATGTCACCAGAAATCAAATTAATTAATATTACTAAGTATTGCACACAAACGATTCAATCACAAATTGCATAGATTAATAAACTAATTATTGCACATAAGTAATTACATAACAAAATTATCACACATGTATAATTATCATACTTATACAGAATATATCTGACAATACATTGGTACTACTAAAATTTGCACTGAACATAAAAAAAAACATTTTTGAAAGAAATAAAATAAAATGACTGGATTTAAAGGACCATACAGATGTTTATGAACCTAAGATGTGTTGGAAACCTGTTTCATTCCTGACAACCGTTATATGTAAATATCTTCTTTCCGAAACCCTTAACTTTGGGAATAGAATAACAGTTACTATCTCTAAGATGATCGAAGAAAGAATGTACCTCATTTACAAGTTCCAATTTAAATAATTATAGATGCGCTATTATTGTTAATCTTATGAACATGACCAAGAATAAGAAACTTTACTATCAAATGCACTGGTAACCAAACAACTACTCAAAATGAGCTCTCCCTTTAGTTTTTGGCCCCCTGGTGACCCATATTTAAATTTGACCTAGAAAAAATCAAAACAAACTTTCAGACCAATTTCCAGGATATTTCGATTAAAGCAGTAGTCACTAGAGTGTTTACAAGATATTTCTGTGTTTAGCTCCTGTGACCTAGTTTTTCATCCGAGATGACCCATGTTCAAACTCATCCGAGCAATTACCTAGACGAGCATCCTGACCAAGTTTGATGACAATTAAGAGAAAATGTGACGACTGGAGTGTTAACAAGGTATTTTCATATTTTGGCGTTGTGACCAAGTTTTTGACTTTAGGTGACCCTTATTCAACCTTTACTCAGAAATCATCAATAAAA